AGAAAAATGACAGGAGAGCAGTATAGAATAAGAGGGAGACTGCAGGCATGGGTGAATCGCCAGACTCAGGGTTTATGCTTGTGTGATAGGAACGTAAAAGACGAATGTAATAAAGTCGTTGACGAACTTTAGTAAAAAGGGACTCAATATGGAGAGAAAATGACAGATTTAAGGACAACGTCACGCCATGGTACCTGACAGAGGATGCCTCGTTAGGAAGGACGTCAGAGGATTCTGAATAGGACAGGGCCGCAGTCGAAAAAATACGCTGAAATGATTTTTGGTTGATCATTAAAATATCATTTCCCCCCGACCACACTAGGTCATGGTTTAGACCATCATTTAGAGACTGGAGTTGCTTCTGACATTTTAGAGGTTATCCAATAACCACACCATCATCATACTTAACCAAAAGAAAGTCGAAAGTATATTTCCCCGGAATGAATTTAAAGCAAGCAAAGACAGCAGAATTTAATGGTACCACAAAATTTCGCAGTTGAGCACCTGCCTAAATGGGTTCTAAAGCAGGAGAATAAGACTCCACAATCTTCCATTACAAAACATCTCCTTGATAGTGGCCATTCGGTTGACCCTAAAACATCTTTTTGAGTATTAGTTCGAGTACGAACTACTCGGTTATTGCGCTACCTGGAGGCAGCCTATATACGGCGGGAGAAACCCGACCTATGTAAACAATTAGACCACGTGGTCTACCTCAGCTTGCCCTGGTAGACCCGAGCGCTTTTGAGTTTCGAAATCCCTCGACATGCCTAGTTCCCCATTTTCATTCCTATGTTGCATTTTGAAGTTACCATTTTATCGATTAGTCTACGCGCATTACACGTTGACCTTGCTGTATTAAATTGATTTTCTCTGTCGAAATTCAAACCTTTGTACCTTTCTCACTTGTTATTTCTGTTATGCAACGACCGGCAGCAGCTGAGAAGCCGTCGCGAAATTTTGTGGTACTATTAAATTTTGCTGTCCTTGCTTGCTTTAAATTCAAAAGAAAGTTGTTAGGACTCTTTGATTGTCGGTGAGGAGGGAGAAAAGGTGAGGGGATAGAATGGAACCTTGAAGAACTCCGCAGTCATTGTGAAGGACCATAGATTTCCTGCAAGACTTTTCCGCCAAGATTTTCCTACAAGATTTCGTACAAGGTATGTTGATGAAGTTGGAAAACGCCTCAGCTAGAAGTCTCATGAAGACTAGATTATAGTGTACGTTTTGTCAAACTGTCACTCATCTGTGGTCACATAAAACGTCATAGCCGATTTTCCGACTTTTAGGAAGCAGGCGGGATTCGGTAAAAGGCATTGGACAATAAAGGTCCACAGAGCCAAAGAACAAATAAGTACTGCCAATTACGGCATAGCATGCGCGAACTGCTGTTGTGTTTATACTGGTCATTCAGGCTGACGTCTTGGAGCGCGCATTAACGAGCACAAGTTAGCTCCCCGCCGACGTGACCCCTTGTCTCTCGTGTTTGACCACACCATTGAGTGTGGCTACCGCTTCAGTTGGGGTCGAAGAGAAGTGATCAAAATGGGCAACTCCAAAAATGGGCGAGAATTCCTCGAAGTTTAGCAACAATGGATGGCGTGGTGGAGGTCAAGCTTCAAAATATAACTCGTGCATATTAGAAGGAGAGCAAAGTGCTGGTGCACAACATGCCCTCTAAAGAGCTACCTCCTGCGTATCTGAGAGTGATGAATCGTGAGGTTTGCTTCAAAATCACCGATGCTGATCCGGTCAAAATCGTGGCCACAGAAGAGTTGATTCTAAAACCATCCGGAAATCCTACGAAGCAAAGCACCTCATTGGACAGCCGGTGGTGGTACACAAACCACGCGCATTTGTTACCCATGGTGAGTAGACTGCTCTCAAGGCCGACACCAGCATCGTGGTTCTACCAGCAGAAAAAGGACGTTCCACAGTTGTGATGGATAGGGCGGACTGCAATCTGAATGCCAAAGCCCCACTGGAGAAACGAGAGGCGTACCTTCCATGTGACGGTAATACGATAAGGAAGAGTTGGCGCAATTGGACAAGAGCCTTGCCTCTATGAAGTACGGTTTTGCGGACAACACAAAGCCGCGTTCCCCCTCCGGTCAATCGTGCCATTGCGCGACGCACCAAAATTAAATCGGCACCAGTCGGCACACATATCCCCCAAATATATGGTCTATCTAAGATCCATAAGGAAGACCTGCCAGTCCGTCCGATTTTAGACATGCGAAACTCTCCGTATCATGCGATAGCTAAGTGGTTAGCAGAGAAACTCAAGCATGCACAGCGTCAGCTAGCACCACGCAGCTATCGTGCTACCTTTGAATTCATTGACGACAACAAAGACCTTTACGTCAACGCATGGTGATGTTCTCGCTAGACGTCTCATCACTCTTTACAAACGTTCCGGTCACCGAGACAGTTGACTTCCTCTGTGATTTTCTATCTGCCAGCCAGCAGGAAATAGGGATTCCGACGAATGCACTCCAGGAACTATTACTAAGATGCACATTAAATGTGCAGTTCCTGTTCGACAACCAACTCTATAGACAAGTAGACGGCGTTGCCATGGGGTCACGCCTTGGACCTCTCCTAGCTGATGTCTTCATGGGAAAATTAGAGAGATTCCAACTAGTCGAACAGATCAATAAGCTTAAACATTACGGTCGCTATGTTGACGATATCTTTGCCATTGCCACTGCAGAAACCGATGTAGCCACCCTCTTAGATGCGGCAAATCAGACACATCCGTCGATCAAATTCACGCTGGAGATGGAAACGGCCGGTTCGCTCCCTTTCTTAGATGTTCTTCTAAGCAGGAGACCTGACGGGAGTGTCCGAAGAAGTGTCTATCGGAAGAAAACCTGGTCTGGACAATACACGAACTTCGCCAGTTTCGTACCCCTCCAACAAAAACGAAATAAAGTCCGATGTTTGACACAAAGAACTAGAAAAATTTGCTCAACAGATTGCATCGAGGAGGAGATCAGAAAAATTCATGACTTCCTTCGAGAAAACGGGTATCCTGAGAGGTTTACTGAAAAGAACATTGCCGAAAGACCGGTCAAACCCGCCACACCGACCGTTGAAAAGAAGACTTTGTTCCTCAAAGTCCCTTTCCGAGGGGACGCGACGAGTGAACTCCTAAGGAGACGCCTTGATCAAGCTGTCTCGCGAACCTTCCCAGCAGCAAGGGTTCAAATATCATTCTCTAATAACCCTATTTTACGCGAAGACGGTAAGGATAAGTTGCCACCGCAGACCCCCTCAATGTGCATATATTCCTTGACTTGCTCCTCTGGAGCAGGTTATATTGGTCGCACGAGTCGGCGCTTATCCAAGAGAATACGCGAACAACTCCCGGCATGGCTGGGAAAAGGAAGCGACATTCTCGCCTATGTTGTCGATTCCGGATGTCGTGTGGACCCCAAAGAAGCTTGTCGTATAATTTATAAAGCCCCATCGAGCTACCGTAAGCTACTAGGCCAGCGCCTGTTAGCGACAGCGGAATCGGCCGCTATTAGGCTACGAAAGATAATCTTATGCGCACAGAAGAACCACGTTCAGGCTCCGCGCCTACAGTGGTCGAAGGTCGACTAACGATGCTACACTTCGCGCCCTTTCGCTCTAACCCCGCCCCTGACAATGACTGCTATTACCCCCCCCCCTCCACATTCCCACACCCCATCCGTGTTTTAAGTAGAACTTTTATCGATTTTTCCTATGGCTGACGCGTTTTTCTTCTACCCCGTTCTCATATAACTGTACTGGCCCGACGAGACTTTTTCGAAAACTACGTATACTCGCCACCTCGTCTTCTGAAAATTAAATCTGGCTAAAGGACTGCTTCTCAAACAGGGGTCTCTCATCTCGGACGCGTACACGCGAGGCTGGTCAGCGGCTAAGTTCCTTTGGCCGCTCAGAAAATGGCACTCACCGAACACCAGGTCAGTGTCATTCGACGTCACTTCCCTCTTCACTTAAATTCTCCAAGACCTGGCAATCGAAACGGTCAGCGAGCTGCTCGAGGGCCAGTAGAACGGGACGGGCTTGACGGTAAAACGAAGACGTCTCGTCTAATTACTGAGATTCTGCCTGAGGACGTACTTCATCTTCGAAGTTGCAACCTACGAGCTGGTCAATGAATCGCCACTCGGGCATCACCGCAGAGGCAGTTCTCCAAAAATAGATACCCTCGTTTTTCGGAATCCATATGCCTAAATTTTGAATTCTATATTTGATGATACCTTTGGTATCGTTAAGGTCGAAATGGTCCAAGAATCCAATACTGTCCTGCACTCTGTTTTTCCTGACATCGAGTTCTCAATGGAGGCGGGAATCAGCAACCAACTGTCGTGCCTGCACGTTCTCGTTAATTGAAAACCCACTGAACGCCTATGACCGAATACTTATAAGAAAGCTACTAGTATATGCCATTTTCTGAGCAACCACAGTAAGCTTACTTTTATGCCACAAACGCAGTTGTGTCCGAACGCACCATAGAAGGGCAGAAACACTCTACAGTGAGCCGGACGACAGAAGGTCAAAAGTATGCCACCACGAGCGCCACTTCGTGGACAACGGGTATCGACGCAAATTCACCGAACGCGACAAACAGGGCGGACGAAGCCGACGTTTGCGGACAGAACGGCTAAAATATGGTGGGCGCTTGGATATATCGACGACGTTTCTGAGGCGGCGTGTTGTCTCTTAACATCGCTGTGGATGGGCATCAACCACTAATCGGTGTCGACAATTCGACATCTGGTCATGAGACCTAACACCCCCCTGCCACGGACGAAATCACGAAAAACATTTACCTCATCCAGTGTAACTCCTGCGAAGCTACCTACATAGAGGAGACCAACAAACGAATACAAAACCGTGTTGGAGAACACATAAGGGCAGTTTGGAGGTTGGACATTTGTCTACGGTAGCATAACACTGCACCGATTCCGGGTCAGACCCTGTCACTCCAGATTGCCGATATTATGAGCCGAGGAAAGAACCACATAGGCAAGGAAACAATTGAGGCCTGGCATACGGAGATCTCATCGGGCCTGGAACTAGGTACGAATTGAAACGTGTGACATTAAGAGCAATTAATTACATTGCATCTTTTCCTACAAACGAGTTTAGTGAATAGAGCGGGGATGTGGGAGGGAAGGGAGAGGCGGCTGTAAGTAAGAGTGAGGGTTGGGTAGGGCCGATTTGCAAGGGGGAAGGAGAGGAGACGGGCGCAGAAACATGTATACAGATAATCGATCCTTGCCATGGTAGACGCGGAGCGTGCCAGAGGTCCTTACGCGCGCACAGAACCATCCTCTGTAGCCTGATGGCAATGCCTTCTGCTATTGCTAGTTTGCGCTGACCTAGTCACTTGGGACAGTTAGGTGGGGCCTTGCAAATCACACGGAAGACTTTGTTGAGATCCACTCGATGTCCAGAATCAAACATGTGTGTAAGCATGCAGCCGTGTTTATACTTAGCCTCACCTATTCTCAGTCATGCCAAGAGGTGTTCTCGTATACTTACGGACTGGTGGCGCCCAATATAGCTTGTTCCACAGGAGCAAGTAAATGAGTAAATGCACGTGGAGGTGGTCTGGGCTAGCAGCCCATCGTTACCTTCCCTCGTGAGGATGGAGTTGGTGGAAAACAATACTTGAACTCTTGTCGCTCGGAGGGTCGGTGAAACGGCTTTGTCAAGCTGCCCTCTCAGGAGTCCACTAGCCACGTCTACTTTAAAGGGGACAGTGAGGAACAGATTTTTCATTTCGGCCGTCGGTATGATGAGATTTGTCGGTGATTTAGCAGGATTCCCGTTCTTGCGAATCAGATGCTAGATTCTAAGATGTTTGCTTAGGCTTTCTGCCGAACATATTTTTCTAGCCTGGCGGGTTTGTCTAAGGTATTCGTTTTTGTTTGAATGACATACTGTTGAAGAATAGGCAGCCCGCGATGATTTTTGGGAACGCCCTAAAAAGAAATAAAGATAAGAATTCACTTGCCTGGAAATATAATTTCAATCTGATATTTCCAGTATTGTTTTAAGATAAGGAAGTGGTTGCAGTTTGCCAATACAAGTAAAGAGGTGAGTTCCAGGAACTAGTTTATAAGAATAAGAAGCGATCGCTGGAACATGGGCACTATTTGCCTGACGTTTCGTATTCTTACTTGAGACAGTGGCAGGGTGACTCGTGCACAGGAATTTTCAGTATTTATGGAATGCAGTCGCTATGCTACTGCATACCTATACTAATTTACCACGCTACCCTTCATCAAGAATCGTAGCCCGCTGGTGCGCTAATTGTTTGATGGCCGGCATGCAAGTTGTTAATTACTGAAATCTCATCACCCCTGTTGGATGCTGGCGTGATGATTGCTCGGCCATTTGGATCACCGACTTGCGCGCTCCCCCAGTGGTCAATTAATTTGGCCAGTCTATGCCTCAACACGGAATATGGATCGGGGATGTCGTTGCACTTGTTGATAGACTGAGGTCCCGTGAACCATGACTCAAGCAACTCGCGGTTCACGCGATATCATCTCTCGCAATTATTGTGGCCTCATCAATTTTTAATGTGTGATCGGGTCTCGTCGAATGGGCCGCCACCTGAGAGTTGGCGTCATTTCTCCGCACCGCTGCGGCGCACTCGGCAGTTCGCATCCGGAGCAGTCTTCCAGTTTCTCCGACATAGTTTCTTCTTCTTATCAATGTTAACAAAGTCAGTAAGCAACTATGTTGGCCGATGCTTTCTAGACAGCACGCACTTGGAACTCCGACATTTGCATCGCCGTTCGTAGATGCCGTCTTGGAGAAGTACAGGTCCATGGTCATGCGTAGTTTTGGTGGGTGCTGATATGTAGCCCCGTTTAAAAGCACAATTTAAGCATGCATATGTTGAGGGACATTAAAGCATTTGGGCTCAATGCGAGGTGACAACATTATTCAATTCCATTAAAGATTAGTGTGTGCCTCTTCGGAAATCAAAATTTGCTGCTCCTTATATTTTAATAACCACAAAGTTAAGGATAATGAAGTAATTTAAAAGTCGTGGAGAGGATTGCAAATGGAAGCATAAGGCAGGTTCATCGGCTTTGCGAATGTCTGTGCAAACAGTAAATGTGAGGGATAATATAAGTTATTTGGCTGCTGGAACTGAAAAAAACTCATTGGAAACATACAAAACAAAATATTGCTTAGGGATTTGGGAAAAAATTTCATTTCCCTGGAAAAAAAAATATCCGTAAAAAGTTAAAGGAATATATTTCGGGTTGGAAAATTTCAAGCAATTCAAAAGTCATTTTAAGCCTTATGCAGTTAAACGTCAGTTATATAATGGATGTTTTCGTTCTCGTGAACAGCTGGCGAAGTGTGTTTTTAAGTGTCAACCTCATCAATCCCAAATGTCGCGCTCAATGTATAATTCAGAAGACGAACATGATATCGATGAAAGTGTTGTCTGCGTCTGGCCTGTTGCACTCTAAGCGAGCTGCCTCTGTATCATTTGTGGTACGTGACCTATGATACAGCGTTCGTAGTCGTCAGTCGCAAGCTGGCGGACGGACTGAATGGGATCTACTGACATCCTAACCACAACAGTGAGGGTCACACGCCTACGTGATATGTTCTAATTCTCTGATAAACAAAAGAATGCCCACAACACATATTTACCAGTATCTGTTCAAGCGCCCAATGAGTGCTGAAAGAATTAACATCGAAGTTGCTATTACAAAAAGATAAATTTGGACGTTTTGACAGCAAACAGTTGTAAACGTTCTTTTCGGTTATTATGAATTTTAATTTATCCGGCGTCACTTGTTATTGCCGAAGATTATCAAGTCAGGCGCATGTAGAATTATAAGTAATGGGACTGTGATACTGTTTTCTGATACATAATTTTATTTGACGCGTATAACATGTGCCCTTACAAACCCCCTTCACACCTTGTTGGTCATAGCTTTCCAAAACATGCCTGACTAATGATAATTCGATTTTGATAAAGACATTTAAGCCTCGCATTATAGAAAATAGCGTACCAATCGAGTTGTTGCAGTGAAATGTCTGGGAATGACTGACTCATGCAATCAATGTTTGCAATTTTGCGTTCCCCTCGCAGTCCTTCCTCTTCTCCGCATGATGTTTTATCCCTATCTCGCAGGCGCGCTCCTGGCACCCGGGAAAATCCAAGAGTCTGTCTATTAAAACAGGTCTTCCCACGTCCGACTACCACAAGTGAAGACTGCATTGAGTGTTCTGATCGCTGATATTGTATGACAAAGTTCTACGACAGAATTATACGCCTTCGAGCATTATTACGAAGGAGACGGCCTGCGTGTATTTCTCCGCTCCGGAAGCTGAAATAATAACTGCTTCGTTTTCCAACTTTCAACTTTAAAAGTGGATGGATATTGTCGCCAATAAAAAATGCACCTCAAAACGCTACTATTAATAACTGATTGAAATTGGTTTCCGTCTTCCGCAAAGTTTATAATTTGTCGACATTGCGTTTCACTTTTTGTAATGAACTAGAGCAAAGTCTAAGGCAAATAGCATCCATATTCCATCATGATAAAGATCACTTAACGAAGGTGTTTATCGAATTCTTAAGTACTTCCTTCGGAACTTGACGCGTTAAATAATTAGGTGAAATGCGCTAATCAAATTGCGTCAAGGTCAAATAAATAGTTCACGAAGTGTTTCGTCGTGGAACGGTTCGAATCTGACGAATCTGATTTTCTTGCACGTTTGGATATATGGTGAAATAAATTAGAAGATTTTAAACGTCCACGGTTAGGCGTTCGTCAGCACCATAAAGGATGTATTTGATTATAACGACATCGACAGACTACCAACTCTTAACCTGTTTCCATTTTCCTAGAGGCAACTACGCGGCATATGCATATGCTTCAGTCGGCCTTTCTGAATACCATTGCGTCGCGGAACTTGACAACTTTGTCAGCGTGAACCCGTCGCGAAATCTCCATGAAAGAGTCGTTTTGGTTACCTCTCGTCGTCCATCAGTATGAGGTGGCCGCTCCACGTAGTTGTCCCAGCTTAGCGTATATGCTGAGGATTCTCGTCCACCCCAGTGCTTCCGTATCTGGGATCCGGTCCTGTCACATCAGATTTAGTATTCTATAAAGATAACTGAGGTGCTTCATGTACACCGTCAACGTCTCTGTTCCATGCAGCAACATCCGTAGGACGACGGCCTTGTACTCAGTTCCGTGCTGAGTTTAAGACCGTGACGATTCAAAACAGTGCCTTGATGACGATCGAATCCTTGACTGGCTTTAGAAATTGGGAATCGTCGATTTAGGTGCTGTGGGAGAGGGTAATGCGCGAATAGGTGAAGTTGTCCACCACATGCAGTTGGGTACAGTTAACGCTGACTTGCGGTTCATTGAGGGCTGTGTTAGGTGACGGTTTGTGCATGATCACAGCCTTTTCAGTGTCGGTGATCAGGCCGAAACTCTCGCAATCGGCGGCCCAAATGCATAGATGGGTTTAAAAAGAACGAGGCGTCTGGAAAACAGAGTACGCGAACACATGCTTGCCTTGAAGAAGGAGACAAGATCGCCGGGACAAGAGCTTTATTAGCCTGACGTTTCGGATTCCTACTCGAATCCATCATCAGAGACACAAGAGCAGACACGGGTCTGCTCTTTTGCCTCCGATGATGGATTCGAGTAGGAATCCGAAACGTCAGGCTAATAAAGCTCTTCAAGCTTCTTCAAGACGACTTCCTGGGACTCGGCTCTTCGCTTCTATTGGCACATGCCGGCCTGGCTGGCTGGGTTGGGGAGGGGGGAGTTTTGATCGATTTCAAGTACAATTCGTGCATACCTAATTGATACGAGCTACCAAGCCGGCGCTAATGTGGTCTTTAAAGTTATCTGCCCGAGGGCCAGAACACTATTCTAAAGGCCTGTGTAAACTGGTGCCAGCCACAGCTGAAGCAGTGACCATTCGATTAGTGAACCCATCGTTCTGTTGTCCGATGAGGTTGACACAAGCAGTCTGTCAACCCGGGCGGACTCCAGGTGGTGGTCGCACGTCGGGCCGACACACTCAGAACGGTCACGCGCGCTTACAGCGCTTACGATCTAATCGTCACCCCTCTCTCCCTTCACCCCCCTCCTACCCAACTCCACCGGCCTCAACACGCCGACTCTGTCTTGCGGGCGGCGTGGGAACATGTCGTCTGACCAGCCCTGCCCTGAGACGCATTTATATCCTGTCTACAATGTAAAAGGTCCTTACACATGTACATGTATTGACTGGTGATGAGTTACTGAAAACGTATATTTACCAAAGGACTTTACAATCGCAAAGATGGAAATTGTCGCAGAAATTTATTTTGACTGAAAACTAGACATTCAGAAAATGGTCATACTGGTGAATAAAAGAGGCAATCGCTGGAACAAGACGATATTCGTCTAAAGTTTCGAACTCGCCCTCCAGCCCATGATCAGAGACAATAACCGATACGGGTGAATCGCGCAGAAAAGAAGTTTCAATGTATTACATATAGCTTACATAGAGTGTTATCTCTGTAAGCTAGCTTTGCTTGCGGTCATGCACTAACGATAATTCGCTCGTTCGCTGGCATGAATCTGACTCGATGGTGATATCTCCATCGCCATTATTCAGCTTTAATTCTAGATGACCGTTTGGTCCATTCTTGTGTGCAAAGCTACCGCAACGACGGGTTGGAAAGCAATTTGACAATGTCTGCTCGGTACTATTCCGAGTTGCCTGTGATGTTGTGCTGTAATTGAAGACGACATATTCCATAATTGTACAATTTCCCGACCTTTCAATATTCAGTAAAAAGTGGGTATGACCAACGGTATCAAGGATATGCCCTCTCTTAACGATTCCGATTCATACTTCAAATTGAGCATGCACGCGAAAGGTTACATACCGAATTGCATTGGTTGTACTCTTGTCGAGGGATCTTGTGCGCTCTGACCGTCAATTTACTCGCGCTTTCGCCTATGCTATTTCTTTCTGTCTGAATGACAGTCCGCTGAAAAATAAGTAACTTAGAAAACGTATTAGCAGTCCGGAGAGAAAGAAAGTGAATAGAAACGCCCAAAACAACGCACCCCTCGAGAATTCACGGCAGTTTTTCGCTGCCATAAAAATTTACTTCTGAAACGTTTAACACTTGTGTTAATCTAAGGAATTTCTAACACATAAAACACGTAGGCAAGCCGAAAAGCTCCAAAACTCCACAATTGCCTTTAGAAAGTCTACATTTGTTTCAATTTTTATTAGGATCGTCTGGTAGAAGGATAGAGGCATTCGGGCATGTAATTTTGATTTATGCGAAATTCAGTCCAGCTTGAAAGTGAAGATCAGTCATGAAGCATATTGAATGGTATTAAGGTCCAATTGCTCAGTGCAGTTGAGCGCACTGCATACATGGACTAATAGACAGCAAAAATCTCTTACGAGACAACGAACGATAATCCTTCTTTCTCATAACCACATAGAGGAATATCCAACAAGGTTTGTTATAGCCGCGGACACAGACACAATACAGACCAAAACGATTCGTTATTGGCTGGGAGAGGTTATGAGAAAGAAATGCAAATTCAAAATGACCGCTACCATATATGCTGAAAGCACGTTGGCATAATGGGTCCCCTTTCTTAATAGGCATATGCATTATCATTTTTCGTCAAATATTTCTACACGGCACATATGATCAGTTTGATCCCATAAGACATAAACAGGATCTTGAAAAAAACATTGCCTGTGACCAAAACGGACATGTAATCGCGCCAACATGGTGGTCCATGTGAAACTGACGTTCACATTCTAGGCCACGCACAGTTGCGTACTTGATTTAATTTGATTTGCGTAATACAGGCAACCACACAAACCTACGGGGACCATTCGGATTGGCCAGATATAGCGAGCAAAACAGTCTGAAGTAAACCTATTTATAAAGGGAAAATAGATGACGCGGGCATGAGCCAGTCATTCATAACAACTATTTGAACCAGCGACTCGGGATTTCTAATGTGTGTATAACAGCATTACCTCTGCAAAGGTGATAGGAACGATATGTTGACTTTTGCGGTGCCCAAGAGGTGGTCCCCATGTGCTTATTCTGCTCTGTACGGGAAACCATCTATGCCTGTGAAGATTGGCGTCAGAATTATTTTAAATATGTGAGTCTTTTGCATGCAGGCCCTGATTAAGCGATTGGGCCGATAAACTGAATTCCACGGCCGGATTTACGGTGGTTTGTTTGAATTAGGCGGGCACATGCTGTCCTTTCGCTTCCTAGAGAGGAGAAAGCTTACGCGGAGGTTCCAAATTAGGACGGTCTTTGCAGCCCACGTGTTAGTTACGTCCAAAAATCTCGGTATGCAATGGTAGACACGCAGAAAACTTCTTCTAGGAGAGACGCTTAGAGCGCCTTTAAGGGCAAAACACCGCGCTTTCACAATAAATTGAGCTAAATGTACAGTGAGTGACCGATTTCATGAAATGTTGACCCACATTCGGAAATATGTTTTTGATTAGGAAGGATCACTGAGGTACAGTTACAAGATTGACTATCATGAGGCATAATCCTATAATGTTCCAGACTCGCCAGGATGTCTGCTTTTGAATACATTTATTTTTTGATCTCCTGCAGAAACTGCGCTTGGTAAGAAATGGCTAGTTATGTAGCATGCATTTTTCACAGCCATTTTTGATGGTCTTGCAAATGCAATTGTATTTTATAGAAAACATGCACAAAATATGCTTTCTTTAACTCCTTTGGTAGAAAATCGAGTCGACTTCACATTTGATGCACGAAGAAGGAGTATATTTTGATTTAAAAAAAGTTTCTCATTATGAGATTTTAAGTCCGTGCAATGTATATTCATACAGCATCGCACATGTCCGTTTGCCCATGTTCATCATAAAATCTACAATATAGTCCGCATCTCTCACAGTATTTTGCGAACTGTGCAGAACATCTTTTAAATACATGCAGCTTGACGACTGAAATATCTAAATGCTAATGCAACGGCTCGTCTCGCCCAAACTTTTTGGGTAATTGGGAAACGCTTTAAGGATCTAAATATACGCTTTCTTCGGGTATGCAATGTAAAGAAAATGTTATTTTTTACAAACCAAGCAAAACAAAGTATACTTTGTGCATGTCTTCTATGAACTATACTTGAACAATCAAAAATAATTGTGAAAAATCTATGCTACAAATGTTGTCATTTTACACCGATGACGGTTTCGGCAGGAGATTGGAAAGAAATGCATTCAAAAGCTGACATCCTGATGTGGCCAAAACATTGTAGGATTATGCCGCATGATAGCCAATACTGTAACCGTTCTTCCTAATCGAAAATGTTTTTCCGAATTTCGGTCAACATTTCACGAGATCGGCAAATCAGGCAAGTTCGTCTGACTTTATTTAGCCGAGTGAGCATCATGAATGGCGTTGGTTGTTGGTCAGGTCTGTAAAATGATCCGTGACTAAGGTTTAAATTTTACTAAAGTCCGCGTGCTACTTTCTGCAAAAGGACAAATTCGCTTTTCACATAGTTAAGTGCAGATGAGATTGTTAATTAAACCTCGGTACCCATCTACTTATTCAGCAGTATAAGGAAGTGACATTGTGATATCCTGCAGAACGCGTTTATGAGACGGATGCCTCGAAGAAAACGACGCATTTACAGAGAAATGGAAATAAATAATAAATAGGTAACGAACAATTTTGCTATCTTGAAGCTGTCAGGTTTAATTGCGCTACCAAAATTTCCCTTACAGTTGCCAACGAAATCAGCCAATCATCTTAATTTTGAGGCGATTAACCAACTAGATACCAGTGTAAGCCAAAACTGGTCTATATAAACAGCATAGGATTGACCAAAAACATACTGGATCCGTGAGTCTTTTCCGATATGCCGATGCTTCCGCGGTTTATCATGCTTCAGACATTTATGCTGCAGGTCATTGTCGCTTTTGGCAAGTTTTGCGATCACTTTGCGATTCCTCTGAGATTTAATCATATTGTAAATTTTGGTTGAAGCTGAATGAACATCTGTAACTCCGTCCAAGAAACTGTCTGAAACATTTTCGGTTCATGATAAGCCTACGATAAATCTAAATAATCCGGCCTTTTTGATTGTCAACATTTCGGTGTGGTTTAATCACCCTTACTTTTAGCACAAGAGGACGAATCACCATCCTATGATCTGTGCAAAATGGACAATAAAGAATGCAGACTTTTGGAGTACAGAGCGGAAGATACAACCAAGGGCAAAGGCTGTCGTGACGCGTGTGGAAAGCAACGAGGTTTGCACTATCTAACTGCCTTTTCTTCTACTTTGACTCCAAATAAGGCTGCTTATTCTTTAATTATTCAAAAGACTCCTGTTCAACGTCGTTGATATTGCGAGTGACAAAGTCCTCCTTGTCCTTAGGGGATCTAAGCGAGAAGATGACAGTATACTTCTGCGAAGAACGTCACAAGCCTTGCAAGCCATACGAAGTTTACGGACGAAAAGGGTACGCGAAGAACTTTGAGAGACACGCCATGTGTTTCCAAACATGTCACTTTGTCGGGAAAGGTAAACTGGCTCCTTTTTTCCTTCAGTCCTTCGTGTGGTTTCCTCCTGCTACCCTTCCACGCCTTCTTCAGCGTTGCTGAGGATGCCTCTGCATAAGCTGCACCTTTTAATCTAAATAAGGGACAGTCAGTACTTGTATGCAAATGCTTTTTTTGATTTTTAGTTGAACACAGCTCTGACGATCACTTCGAAATGTGTTCGGAAAACATGGATAAATGTATTGATATAAAGCGGATAAATGGGACCTTTGATGTTTTCAGTAAATGCGCCTTTAAATGCGATGGTTGGCCAAAACGTAAGTTAATATAATTTCAGTGAAGATTTCCACGGCAAGTCACACACAACGCCTTGTCGTTGTTACAGACGGTTTTTTTGCTTTAAGTGAAAAACACTTTGGAGGACTCGGCAGTCTTCTGTCCCAACGAAGGCGCTTGTGCAACCGCGAAATACTTCAGACGTCCAAAAGCTAGAAATGCGTTCGCTGGTCTGAAAAAATGCCTCAAAAACTGCATGGCAGGTGATATCAGATATTCAGTTTTAAAAAGCACACTATATATAATGGCTTCGTGTGGAACTGGAATGATGCACATTATTGAACGGCAATCCTTACAGAATGATAAACAATTGTGTAACTCGTATAGAATACCCGTATTTATTAGCTTCGCGAAATTCAGATTATAACATTGATTACTTTGGATTGTAGGGAGACAAAACATACTGACGTGTGTTCAAGTATTAAACCTCTACAGAAAGCTGTGCCTTAATCGAGTATTCACTCGTTCATACACACATATTTCGTAGATATATGTGGAATATATCATACTCATCGCTCCATAATATGCGCAGTACATGTCTTCAAATGTTGCCTGAATGTTTTGGTAGCATTCCCTTTACACTGTTAATGACCGTGAAATTTACATGTATATCCACCAAATAGCTAATGCAATATTTTTTTCATTCTAGAATAAGCGTTTACGACAAACCTTGGTTGGTGGGAGATATTTTTGTTCTTTTCCTGCACTGAGGTGATTTGGATGTTTACCAAAATTTAAAATTAATGGTTTGGGTGTTGCATTGAAACGATAATGTACACATATGCTTTAGTCTTCTTGTTCGTTTATTGGCACGCTTAAACCCGCCGATTAATGCAGTTCAAATCTGCATAAGTAATTCCAGGTTCCGGTATTCGATGTGTGGGCTCAACTAAAAATAGATGTACTCGTAGAAAATACTGATGACATTATTATTTCTACACATGGTTACGAATTTTTATGAAACCGGAACAAATAACTAGCACCAGCAACGCAGGTTGACATCTGCTTACTATGTAGTTTTTTCTGAATTGAAACGCCCACCGAGTCTCGATAGACCATCTAATTTGTTGGTACATTATTCTCCGATAATGATGGTTGATCTTCATATCAATCAGCTCGTGTTCTAACTTTCCTGAAAACATCTCCCTCTCGGCAGCTGCACTGTCCAGTTTTTGCTTTTGAATGCTTAGTATGAGCAAGCGGACGGTATACCTGTTGGGAATCGAAGAATCTTAAAAGTATTATCGATGGCATCTGCAGAAACAGTAGGAGGTCTCTAGAATTTGAGATCTCATCTGACATATTTGTGAAAAAAGTGACGGCCTCAGAGCGAATCAAACAAACGACAGAAAGTTCATGCTCGAGTACAGCCAAAGTTCTGGGAAAGTGATCTGCGTTACCTGACTGGAAGCTGAGATTTGACCACACTTGTGTCGGGGTGTTCCGCTCAAATTGCAGTCACATATGAAATTAAATAATAGAAATACAGGTTTTATAAAGCGATCAATCTAGAATCCACAAGCCGATTGCGAGGTCGAATTTATTGTTCAATTAAATTTTAAGGTTTAAATGGTCTACTTGACTCATGGCTCGCAGTGGGCTGTATTCAAACCCTTAAATTAACGTCGTAGGTTTGAATCCTGGCAACGGTACAAATGATTCGAACATTTGGTTAAAAAAATTGGGTTCAAGTTATCTAGAACACGTATAAGTTTGCGTCTTGAGTTGGAGTACTCTGTAGAAACTTGAATGACTTCAGTACCCACCGGGGTTTATATCGGACGGATATGTGGAAGGCGTTTCGATAATGATCAGCGGAAAAATAGAGACATTCGCCGAGTAATTAAGACTTGATAAAACACGGCAGACACGTAATCTGGAGCGCGTCGTCGGATACATTAACGGACGACAGGTATTCAGAGGGCGACACCCATGAATAGCGATACTATTTCACGCAACATTTGCCAGTGAGGGGAAACGCAATTTGTGCAAAACTCTCAGCGGCTTAAATTCATCTCTTTTCCGAGTGACATAGAACCATCCATGTTGAGACATTAAACTAGTCGTGGACCTTGACACTGCCAAGTGCGAGCGAGGAATGCAGTGAGAAACTAAACGTAGATTAGCCGAGCGAAGAACAGCTGCCTACGGTTCTTGCAGTTAGTTGCCTCGAATACTGCAAGCGAGTTCGTAAAATCATCACCAAACGCAAAATCCAGGAACACTGCCTGGATAATTAAATAATTTTTAATCCGACTACTCACTCATAAATAGTACCGAGAGAGCAGCTTTTATCATTGCACATTCAAATGGCGCCACATCGCGCTATGCAGTCGAGCGAAGTTCTACAAGAAGTGGACGGACTCTCTGTTTATGTAGTGACCACAGGAATTAGAGACGTGTTTTTGAGCATTGTTGGATGATGCACAGCAGGGATGTGATGCGATGAATACTCTGCCGTGCAACATTGCGTGAATAAAAAACTGTCGCATATGCATCGGGCATATTCGTTGCGCACGTCCATAAGGCTACCACTCTTAGCGACACTACCACAGTAACCTCTGTGGGTACTAAACTAGACGAATTCACACGTAAGTATAGCATATTTCATCTGTTCCCACAGTCTGATTAACAGCATTTGACAGTTTTCGACTCATGGCAGTTGATATACACCGTGAAACCAACAAATATACAACGCACACTTATATACCTGTACAGTGGAAATTCCCCCGAAGAAGTAAATACACGGTGTTGAATGTGGGCGAAAGGAGGAACCATTGACACCCTTCACACGAGATTGTTTGGGTTGTCGTTTGCGTCAGTTTGTATGAAATAAAAATAAAACAGTTCCCAGTTACAGCCGCAGAAACAGTCCTACTGTTTCAAACAAAGCGCATTCTTTGCTAACAGTTCGAACATTCATTCGACGCCCAATAAACAGATTTTGGCCAAAGTAATCTCAGTTGGTCGTGGGCTCGACAGGCATTTATGAACTCTGAAATGGTTGTCGGACGGCATTCCTAAACGAACTTTTATGCATTATTTCCGGAAAAAGAGGATCAATGGAAGTTGAAAGAATTTGAAATTTACGCATATGCATCATGAAATAAGTAAGCGATAATCCAATTGAAATAGGCAAAATATGAGGTCTGAAGGATACTAAACCTCCCAAGATTGATAACAAGGATTCTCACTGTCCACACTTCAAAAGTAGCAAAACGTGAAAATACCGAACGCATAAAGGAAAAAAATTTACGAGACCAACTCGAATTTACGAAGAACCTTCATTAAAAATATATAGACATAGATGCAAAAATCCTCATCTCAGGTGTTAAGATGGAAGAGGAAGGTAAGGCGATCTCTGGGGAAGACGTTTTATTTATCTGGCGTTTCGTACTCATGCCCGAGCCCATCATCGGGGATAGAGCAAGTAAGAAATGCAGGGTTTCAATAGACCGTCTACGCTCGCCTCTAATAGGTTCGTCCCGCTCACATCTGATTGGCCATCCTCTCGCGCGTAAATGATGACTGACAGCCTCCTATGGCACTGGTAAATCGATACTGCGGTTCATCGAGTTGGCGTTTGATTTCCAGGCCTCGATTACTTCCCTCGCCAGTTTGCTTTCGGCCTGGCCGAGCACTTGGGCGCCGTCAAAGTCGAACTTGTGATTATTTTCCAGACAGTGCATGTCGACATGCAATCGTACATCGTTTTGCCTTACGGCCAGAGTATGCTCATACATGCGTGTTCTTAGGCGTTTGTCGGTCATGCCACAGTAGCTGGCTAGACAGTCAATACATTGGACGCGGTAAATGACGCCTGACGTGTCTGCAGGTGGTAGCTGGTCTTTTGGCTGCATGATTAAGCGGCGGACGGTGGCCTCCGGTCGGTGTACAATGCCCACGCTTAGCGGTCCTAACATGCGCACAGTGGCTTCGGAGGCGTTACTCTCGTAGGGTAAACCACGGAAGATTTCTGGTTTTTGTTTCCTCTCACTGTCGGTCTTCGTGTGTCTTCGGTACAGGCATTTGTTTACAAAACTGCATGCATATCCATTGGCATGAATGAGGCGGCATAGAGTTTTACGCTCCTGCAGCTTCTCGGCATCTATGCTGCAGTGTGTGTGTATGTGTGTGTGGATGCGGCGAAAAAGTGTTCGGACACAACTGGACTTATGCGACAGGGGATGGTTGCTGTTGTGGTGAAGATTTTTATCCGTGTCTGTCGTCTTTCGAAAGACACCAGTCTGGAGGGTTCCGTCGTCCTGCTTCGATACTTGGACGTCGAGGAAAGGGAGCACTCCGTTTTTTTCATCCTCCATGGTAAATTGTATTTGTGAAAAAAACCGAGTCTTATTTTCTTTTAAAGTTGTCTTTCGCGTCTTGCCGCGTGATGACAAAGGTGCCATCTACGTAGCGCATCCAGAATTTAGGTTTGCAGTTCTGAAGGACCCGAGTTTCCAGTTCCTGCAAGACCGTCTCAGCCAGACAGCCGGACATTGGGAACCTCATTGGGGCTCCCTGCATTTTCTCGTAAATTTGACTTTGCGTAGACAGTAGTCCAGTAGTTCCATCGCGGGCCTCTTCTTAAAAGGATTTGTGGCCGTCGTGTGCATCTGTCCTTATTGATCGGCTTTCGTCTCTTCCATTTTTCCTTCAAGTTTTTGTTCGTGGCATTTAACTCGATATGCGTTTTGATGCACGACTCATCGGAGTGCATAGTTACAGTAAACTCTCGGCCTTTTTTAGATAGGCAAAGTCCGACGATGCGCGTTTTGTCCCATGCAAAAGTGTGCCCAGTATCAAGAATGTGCATGGTCATTTGAGACAAGCGGTCTCGCGGCTTAACTGCCAGTTGATGTTTGTGGATCCGTGCAGAGGTGTACAAGCTGAGCGCACAAAGTAGTGGTCGCCTTGTGTGTCAGTTTTATCTGGTGTTTCCTCAAGTGTCTTTCAACAAGTTCAGACACATTCCTGATGTAAGGAAGGATTCGCCAAGTGTTTGCTTTGGGTGCTTGATTGGGACTATCTAGTTCCTTTGTTTTTATCTCTTGTTGTCTAATGCATCGAAGTAAGAAATCTCTAGGGTATCCGTTCTGGGAAAATAATTCAAATAGGCAGTCTAGTTCAACTTTGTGGCTTTTTTCATCAGAGCAATGTGTTTTTGCTCAATGTATCAGACTTTTGACGGCAGTCCGCTTGCGAGAGATCGGACTGTTGCTCTTATGGCGTAGAAGTATTTCCGCATGTGTTTCTTTTTGTGGTTAAGGGAGGTCTGCTGTGTTCCGTCAGTCTTACGCTGTAAAAGAGCATCTAGAAATGTGAGTTTATTGTCAATTTCTTTTTCGATCGTGAATTGAATTCCCGGAATGGTTGAATTTATTTTGAGTTAGAGTATTTACAATTGATCATTTTTACGACGACAAACCTGTCGTATAGATATCATACCCATAATTTAGAGTTAACTAATTGAAAAGATACCGACTGCAATTTTTGCATTGTCACCTCCGCAATAAAGCCA